GAACTACCCCTCCTGCCGGCCTGGTCACCCTTCATGGCCGCCCTCCCCCCAACCAGCCTGGTTGCCCCATGCAGCCTGCTTGTTCAGTTGTTTGGTCATCCCTCACTAAACCCCCTGCTGGCCTGGTCGTAGGCAGCCATCTTGTGAGTGTGTGAGGGTTAATTTGCATATTACCTCTTTATTATATAGGGTGGTAAGGTTCCTAGCCAATCAGCACATTCTATCCTTCTGGCTACAGGGACTGGTTCCAGATGGACAGGTGACCAAAGCTAGGCCTTTGAGATTCAAGCTTGGCGCTTTCATCTGAACTAAAACTGGATCGTACAGAGTGGCCTGCTGGTGAGCAGAGAGGTAGAGAGAGAATCCGTAGTAAGATCTCATTTGAGCCCCTGGATCCCACTATACCTGAAGAACCTCTCCCCCAATATTTTGTTCATGAGTCAGTAAACGTTATGTTGCAGTAGTTAGTTTGGTTTGGGTTCTCCATACTTAGCACATGAAGGAGGCTGCCAGAAACTCCAACAGCTTGGCGGGCATTGCTGCTTCCCTGGGGCCAGGGTCCGGGCCGTCGAGCTCAGTAGCTCACTGGGACTGGCTATATTATTCTGCGACACAGTGTTCCAGCTAGTGGCCATCAGTCCCACATGGAGAACTTGGAGTGAGGCTTGTTGTTGTCTCTGGCTAAAGCTAAGACCTGTCTCCTGCCCCAGCCTGAGGGCCCCACACACAAGGCTACACAGTCCTCGGAAATGTGGGCAAATGACTACCTCTTTGGGCTTAAGTTTCCTTCTTTGTGGAAGGGAGATTAATAATATAGAGACCCTCTCTTTCCACCATTCTCCATTTTTGTTGGAGAATGTTAAACCAGAGGTGGGAGGAGAGAGAGGAGAGAGAGGAGAGAGAGAGAGAGAGAGAGAGAGAGAGAGAGAGAGAGAGAGAGAGAGAAACATTCATGTGAGAGAGACACACTGGCCCATCAGTTGCCTCCTGCACATGCCCTTATGGGGGGGGGGGCGCAGCGGGGGGAACAAATCTGAAACCCAGGTGCGTGCCCTTGACAGGGAATTGAATCTGAGACCTATTGGTGCTTGGGCTGATGCTCCAACCACTGAGCAACACTAGCCAGGGTTCTCCTACATCTTGCTCTCTTCTCACCACCCACCTGATGCACTTCACTGCCAGCTCCCCATGGCTGGACACCATAGTCTCCTATAGCAGGTGCTATCTGGGGCCTTTCATGCCCTCAGGCCTCACCATCAGGCACCTGTACCTCTTTAGGACTAGAACTGGCTCTACCCAAAGGGCAGCAGAATTCAGGCCCCTCGGGGGCAGCCCTCCATCAGTGATAGATGGAGGGAAGTACAGGATCAATATCCCAGTTCCATTGCCCCTCAGGTGGGTGACTCTGAGGTGTGTGTCCTACACAATCTCCTAGTGTTCCCCAGTGGGAGTGGGCCCCCAGTTGTCTGTGGCAGGAATGTGTTAATAACAATAGCAACCAATCACCCCAGTCTGCCCAGGACTAAAGGTTTTCTGGGTAACAGGACTTTGAGTGCTAAGACTGGCAAGATCCAAGCAAGTTGATAACCCCAGTGATAACTTATTGATTATTGACTGCTCCCTTCCTTCCTTCCTTCTGTCACCTCCCCGCTTCCCTACAGCTTCCTTCTCTGAGACAAATACACACACAATCCTTGTCTCAAGCTCTGCTTCCAGGATCCCTACCTCCTTCGTGCCCTTCGTGCAGCCATGGCCTCAGCCACTGAGGGCTTGGGAGGGTCAGATGTGGTCTTAGAACATCTGTCTGTTACTGGTTTTGCCTGTGACAACCCTTTGAGGCAGGGTCTGCTGTGGTCCCATTTTAGGTGCGGGAAAGCTGGGGTTGGGGCAGGAAAATAACTTGTCTGAAGTCACCCCACTGGTAAGTGGCATGTCTCAGAGACCAGACTATTTGCAGCAAAATGGCACCAGAATGTTACCAGCAATTGGACCTCAGTTCAGTCACCTCAGTAGTTGAGTTCTGGTTAAGAAAGCATTCAGAGCCAAGACTCAAATACAAGCAGAAGTTTATTTAGAAAGTGACAGAGGTAGAAGTGAGCTGTGGAAGAAGTGAGACAGCCAGGCTACATGGGCGCAGGAAAGAAGTGACAGAGGTTAGAGAAGGGCCCTAGGAACGTAGGAGAAAGCTAGCAAGGATGCATGTGCCTGGGGTAAGGAGCGGGGGAGGTGCAGGTGTGTTCCAGAGAAAGGGCGTGGCGCTTGTGGGGGTGGGGGGGAGGCACAGTTGCGATGGAGAGTGTGGGATAGAGAGGTGAGCTGGGTCCTCTGCCTGGGGCTTTCCTCCCCTCTCCAAAGGCAGGGATCTTAGGGGAGGTCCCAGGGGAGGATCTCAATGAGAATATTCACCAGCTTTTCCAGGTGTGTCCTTTCAGGGTCGTGGTCTCTATTGGTCGGTGCCAGGGGAGGGAGTCATTACTCATGGCAGCTGGTCCTAATGTCGGCCATGGTGTCACCCCACCTGGCCTTGCTGCTTTTCAGGGCCTGGGGCTGAGACACAACTGAGATCCCGATGTTATCCCTGGGGGTTAATGCTTATGGGGGCGGTTGAGCAAAGGCCGGCATGGGAGCCGCATGAGGCCATTCTTTGATCCCTTGCTCCTCCTCCAAGGGGGTCTACCACGTGACTGGCAACGCGTCAGAGGAGGAAAGGTCAAGGGAAGGTTCCAGTCCCATGACCAGCAATATGAAAGGTCAGGGGTCTAAACCGCGATGCCAGGGGAGGAAAGCTTATCCTGGGGGAGGTCCTGTTGTCCCAGTTCTGCCTGTTGCCAGGCTCCTGGAGGTGTCCTGCCCTGGTGACCTTCTGCACCTGGCCCAGCGTCCTTGCTCTGCTGCTGTCTGTCTGTCTGGTAAGTGGCATGTGCCTCCTCACCCAGTGGCACACACTGCTGCTCAGGCATTGGGGGCATGGGATGTGCGGGGACTGTCTTCCACTTCATAGGCATGCTCTCCCTTAACCCTCACGCCCATCCTGGGAGGTTAGACCACCTTTCCTCCACTCTGCAGAGTGGGAAACCGAGCCCAGAGAGGAGCCCAAGCCCAGGTTCAAGCCCAGGCAAGCTGGCACCGAGTGCACATCCTTAACCACCAGGCTGGTGCCTCCACATGTGTAATTTCCTTCCAGGCGGCGGCGGCTGTGGCCATTTGGGCAAGGAGGGGAGTGACTGCCAGTGAGGCCAGCTGGTGGGGGAGGAGCCTGGAGAGCAGGCCTGGCTGAGAGCCTCCAGGTTGGTGTCGGGGCTTAGCAGGCTGAGCCAGGCCTGCCCTGGCCCCTCCCCGCCAGCCTCAGGTCCTTGGGGACCCTCCTGCGGCCTGAAGCATCCCCCACTCCTCTGCCTCCACCCCTGCTCCTGTGGTTGGCCCAAATACCAGACAGGGTGAATCTTAGCTTTCCCCCAAACATTCCTTGCTCCCGTAGCCGTAGCCATAGCCCGGCCCAAGCTGGAGGAGGTTACGCAAGCAGAGCTGGGGGTGGGGGTGGGGAGTCAAGGGGACAGGCTGGCCTTTTCTCACCACCCCATCCATCAGCCCACCCACCCTCCCCAAAGCAGGCAAGGGGGTAGGCCAGCGCTCTTGAGCCCCGGGGGAACAGCCTGCAGGGAGGGTGGCCTGTGCCAGGAGATGGGGGGCGGTGGCGGCCACAGCAGAGGCTCCAGGAGGTGACCGCCTGGTTTCCATTAGGAAGCCCTGGTCGGCAGTTCGGGCAAGACAGCTGAACTGGGGCTGGCTATGGTGAGGTGGGGTGGGGGAAGGTATGAGGGTGAGGCCGGCCTGCCCTGCACCCCCTCTGGGATGCTCCTGTCACCATGGCGACAGGGTGCCCAACCTGGCTACACTCTGACCTGTCCCTCCACTCCCAGCGGCTGAGCCTGCTGCTGCTGCTCCTGCTGCTGCTGGGCCCCCCAACTACCCCCGGCATGGAGGACCCTGCTTTCCCCCACATGGGGGAGAGCTCGCAGCCCCTGCCCCGGGCCTGCCCCCTGCGCTGCTCCTGCCCCCGGGCTGACACCGTGGACTGCGATGGCCTGGACCTGTGGCTGTTCCCCCACAACATCACCAGGGAGGCTCAGCACCTCTCCCTGCAGGTGAGGGGGGGACATTACAGGGTGGGGTGAAGTGGGACGAGCATGGGAAGTGCTGGAATTGAGTGACGGTGTGGGGTCCTTATGCAGGGGTGAGGCAGTGGGCGTGTGGGTATTGGCACTGATGGAAGTTGGCCCTGGTGTTGGGGGTGGGGTACAGATATTGGATGTGGGAGGGGTTGAGAGACAGGGGGTCAAAATCTTGACAGTTACGGGGTTGTCTGGGGTGAAGGTGATGGATGTCAGGAGTCAACTGTGGGGTGGATGGGGTATTGGGGATTAAAGTCCTTTTGGCTAAGGGATGATGAGGCATTTGGGATCAACCTTGGGGGCAATGGGGTGTTGGGGCTCTCCTGCTTAGGCTGATGGGAAGCTGAGAATCAGGGCTGGGGGCTTTTGTTGAGGCTCAGGGTCATCCGGGTCAGGGGTGTGAATGCCCCTCCCCAGAACAACCAGCTGCAGGAGCTCCCCTACAACGAGCTGTCCCGCCTCAGTGGTCTTCGCACCCTCAACCTGCACAACAATCTCATCTCCTCTGAGGGTGAGGGGGAACGCAGGAGCTGCCCTCCCTGGCTTGGCCCCAGCAGTCCTCTCCCTCCCCCATGCTGGGTCTGTGGGCAGCTCTGCGGCACTTCCCAGAACTGCCCTTTGCTGAGCAGGACGGAAACTCGGGGGATGGGGGTGGGGAGGGGGAGCTGCGGCTTTTGTGGACTGGGAGGGGGTGCCTGGAGGAGCCTCTGCCAGTCCCAGGCCAGGAGCCCTGGGGCAGCTGGGAGCACAGACTCCCCTTGCCCCTTACCCCCTCCCAGGCCTGGGGTCCCCTCAATTCCCACTCCGCTCCCAGGCCTGCCCGACGAGGCCTTTGAGTCCCTGAGCCAGCTGCAGCATTTCTACGTGGCCCACAACAAGGTGAGCTCCCCACCCCACCCCACCCCACCCCAGCCAGCCACACAGCAGAGTGCAGGAGGGAACAGCAGGGGCTGGAAGGTGCTACCAGGACCAGCACACTGTGCTCCCACAGCTCTCGGTGGCCCCCCAGTTTCTGCCTCGTTCCCTCCGAGTAGCGGATCTGGCTGCCAACCAAGTGACGGAGATCTTCCCACTCACCTTTGGGGAGAAGCCGGCGCTCAGGTAGCCCCTGGCCCATCTCAGGCCCTCCAGGCCTCAGGCATGCCTAGGCTACCCCTCCCCTGGGTCTGAGGGAGGTCATGAGCCTGCCGTGGGGAGTCTGGGGGAGACAGGACCCTGGATGCTCCGTCTGGAGAAACACACACACGCACACTCTCACACACACTGAAAGCAACCCTGAGCTGGGGTGCAGAGGGGAGTGGTGGGGAGCCTGGGGCAGCCGGTGGCCGCAGCCTGGCTCCCCTCAGGTCCGTGTACCTCCACAACAACCACCTGAGCAACGCCGGCCTGCCCCCCGATGCCTTCCACGGCTCTGAGGCTGTCACCACTCTTAGCCTCTCCAACAACCGGCTCAGCTACCTGCCGCCCAGCCTGCCACCCTCTCTGGAGCGGCTCCACCTGCAGGTGCCCCTCTTTCACTTTACCTCCCCCCCGCCCCCCTCAACCCCCTTCACCTCTCTCTGGGAAGGCCCCTCTGCCCCCTTAATATTCCAGCTGTCAGCGAAATCTTTCTCTGAGTCTCCACCACTGGCACAAGTGGGTCACAAGTGCTCTGAGCAGCCTTGCTACAGTCAGCTCCTCCTCTATCACTCCCTTACTCAGGAGCCTCCTGTGGCTCTCCACTGCCCTCTATTCCGGACCCAGCGCTTCATTCTCTCCTCCTTTCCCAGAACAACCTCATCTCCAAGGTGCCCAGAGGAGCCCTGAGCCGCCAGACCCACCTCCGTGAGCTCTACCTCCAACATAACCAGCTGACAGACAGTGGCCTGGATGCCACCACCTTCAGGTAGGGCTGGGGACAGGTGGGATGGGGTACAGCTTTGTGCTGGGAGTAGGGGCTGGGGATTCAGAGCCTGGGGCCGCCACCCTGTCCTCTCCTGTGTATCACGCCTACCCACGGCCTCATTGGTGAGCACCCACTATGCGCCAGCTCAGCCCAGCACCGGGCAGCCACCCTCACTACCAACTACCTTGTGCTCCCGTCTTGTTATCCAACATCCCAGAATTCTGTCCTGGTCATCCCCACCTCTAACCCTCAGGCCAGAACCTGCCTTGATCACCCCAAGTTTACCTCCCACCCAGATCTCTCAACTCACCACCCCAAAGTTGGAATTTCCAGCTGATATCTCAGTACCACTCGTCAGCCCTTCTGCCCTCCACCCAAGATCACCGGGTCCACGAGGCTGGGTGCCCAGACCGACGCCAGTCCCCTCTCCCACCAGCAAACTGCACCGCCTCGAGTACCTGGACCTGTCCCACAATCAGCTGGCCGCGGTGCCTGCCGGCCTGCCTCGCACCCTGACCGTGCTGCACCTGGGCCGGAACCGCATCCAGCAGGTGGAGGCAGCCCGGCTTCGTGGGGCAGGGGGACTGCGCTACCTGCTGCTTCAGCACAACCAGCTGGGGGCAGTGGGGTTGCCGGCAGGGGCGCTGCGGCCTCTGCGGGGCCTGCACACGTTGCATGTCTATGGGAATAGGCTGGAGCGTGTGCCCCTGGCGCTGCCCCGCCGCCTGCGGTCCCTGGTGCTGCCCCACAACCGTGTGGCCGCACTGGGTGCCCGAGACTTGGCAGCCACACCACGCCTGGCCGAGCTCAACCTGGCTTACAACCACCTGGTCAGTGCCCGCGTGCACCATCGGGCCTTCCGCCGGCTGCGTGCCCTCCGCAGCCTCGACCTGGCCGGCAACCAGCTGACTCGGGTGCCCTCTGGTCTACCCACTGGACTGCACACCCTGCGGCTGCAGCGCAACCAGTTGCGGGCTCTAGAGCCTGAGCCGCTGGCCGGCCTGGACCAGCTGCGAGAGCTCAGCCTGGCCCATAACCGACTCCGAGTGGGCGACATTGAGCCCGGCACCTGGCATGAGCTGCAGGCCCTCCAGGTCAGAGGCTGGCTGGTTGGCCACACTGACTGTCCCCATGGCCCTTCCATGCCCTGCTTGCCCAGGTCCTCCTCCACAGGCCCTTGGATGATAACCACAAAAAGAGCCCCCCATGGGGGGCTAGCTCTGGGGTAGATAGTCCTGGGGTAAATAAGACAGATTCAGCTTCCAGGCCTTTGGCTGTGCTGTCCCTGCCCCCTGGTCCTCTGAGACACCCCCTCCATCGCCTCGGTAAACACTGTGGCCTCTAGCTCCTCACCACTATTAATCCCAGAGTTTAAAGCATCTGTGGGTATCAGGCACTGTTCTGGGGGGCCACAGTGACACAGCTCCTGGGCCTGGCATAAACGCCCTGCCTAGGGAGAAAGCAACCAATAGCAAACATAAGTAAACGACAGTGTGAGAAGGGCATGAGAATGTGGATTAAGTGCCATCTCCGTGAATGGCTAATTGAATCAGTGTCTCCCACAGTAGGTGGGAACTTGTCTGTGCCCCTAGCACCTATAGCAGGGCCCGCCCCAGAAAGGACTCAATTTACCTCTGCCAAGGGGAGGATTTCAGCAGCCTCGAAAAGGGCCAGGAGAAGGGGCAGGACTGGGCTGGGCATGCAGGGGAGGAGGGCTTGGGAGGAGAGTGGTTTGGGGCTTCGCTGAGCCGATGATCCAGGGCCTAGATCACGGGGCATCTCTGCCCACCTGCCCAGGTGCTGGACCTCAGCCACAACCAGCTGTCCTTCGTGCCTCCCGACCTGCCCGAGGCCCTTGAGGAGCTGCACCTGCAGAGCAACCGCATCAGCCACGTGGGCCCCGAAGCCTTCCTCAGCACACCCAGCCTGCGCGCCCTCTTCCTCAGGTGCCCTCAGGGCAGCGGGCAGGTCCACATGGGCAGGGAGGGCCATGGTGGGCTGTGGGGACCTCAGTAGGCCCAGGGGGTCAGGGTGGTTACGGCCCCTTCCCTTGCACCTGCCCTAATGCTTGCCTCTTGGTTCAGGGCCAACAGGCTTCACATGACCAGCATTGCGCCCGAGGCCTTCCTGGGCCTCCCACACCTGTGCATGGTGGACACGACGGGTAACCCTGAGCAGGTCCTGATCCAGCTGCCATCCACGGCACCACGGCAGCCACAGGCAGGGTGCCCCTGACCTAAGGGGTTCTGCCGGGCTGTGGACTAAGGAGACAGTGCCCACCTGGGGCCTCAACCCATCTCTCCCAGGCCTCCGGGCTAAGCCCACCTGACCAGTGCTGGCTAGGAAGCTGGGGCACCTCACATGGAGGGAGAGACCGAGGCATGCAGCTCACACATCAGGTGACCCTGCTGGCCAGGTCCCGCACAGATGGAGACAGCAACAATAAAGCCTAATTCTTTCGAGCACTCACCACCAATCAGGTGCCCTTCACGTTGTGGGACAGGAAGGGCTCTCACCATCCCTATATCCAGCGGGGGAAACTGAGGCTGCAGGATCCTAAGTGGATCAGGCAATTTGGTCCAGGTCCCGTGGCTAGTGAGTGGCAGGGCTGGATTCTGAGGCCCTGAGAACCACATGGGTCACCAAGCATCACTACGTATGGCCTGACCACACCTCTAAACCCAGATATACCCAAGGCCACTGGGCAGATCTGGGTTTATACTGAAGATTAAATGCATGGTAGGGCAGGCGCCCTCAGGCAGCCACAGACCCCCTGACAGATGCATGGGCTTTCACATGCAAGAACACATCCTCTGCGGACACTCCTCCTCCCAGGCACCTTCCCTTCTACTACCCCTGGGGAAGGTGTGTGGGGGGAAGACCCAAAGCGGCCACTGAGGGCAAGAAACAAAGGCAAGATGGAGAGCCGGGAGTGGCCCTGGCTGTTTATTCTGTGTATCAACCCTGGGGCCTAGCTGGGCCAGGGCACCCCTGTGGGGAGCCAGTCAGGTTCTGGCTGCTCTCAGAGGCTTCTTTGGGTGTGGGAGGGCTTAAGGATTAAGGCTGGGGAGGGACAGGGAATAAAGTGCTTAGAGGGGCTCTCAGGGCTTGGTCCTAGCCACTCTTCCGCCTCCGGAACAGGCCAGGGGCACAGGCTGGCTGGTAGGCACCATCCCCGATGCCCCCTGCCAGGGAGGCTCTAGCAAGGCTGGGTGGGCCCAGCAGGGGACGAGTCCATCCAGAACCGATTGTCCGCTGATTGTCTGCTTGTCTGGTCGGAAGCCGTGGCCATGTCAGCTCCTCCCAGCACCAGGGCCGGAGCCTGCTCCCGGATCTCCAGGGCGGACAGCCCCGTTGGCCCCTCACCTGCGGAGCCGCTGCAGCTGCAGAAGTCCACAGGGGTCAGGGGGGCCATGGCCACAGCTGCCCACCCCCACCCCAACACTTGAGCTGCTCACCTCATTCTCAACCAGGTTCCGCCTGTAGAGCGCCTCCTTTGCAGCTTCCTGGGGATCCAAAGGGTAGTCAGTGGGAAGCCCCTGGCAGCCCCAGTCCCCCAGTGACCACCCGAACTCCACCCGGCTCACCCTGCTGCCCTCGTTGCCTAGGCGCCGAGCAGCCTCTGTGTAGAACTGCAGCTGATGCTCCAGCTGGGCCATGTATTCTGAGGGTGGGAGGGGGTCAGAATGGGGCCACTGCCACTGCCCCTCCCCCGTGTGCCTGTCCCTGAGCCCCCACCTCGCCGGATGCCTGGGCCCCCCTGCTCCAGCTGTGCCCTCTGCCACTGGCTGCGATGCATGATGTCCTGGTACTGCTGGGCCACCTCCGGGGGCACTGGCCGCCGTGCCTGCCTGAGGGCCAGGATCTGAGGGAGTGGGGTACAAAGGGGGCTGAGAGGGCCCTGCTTGAGCCTGCAGACCCCACAATCCTGCCCCACCAAGCCCAGTGGGTGGGCACTCACCTTCCGCTCCAGACGCTCTTGGTCGAAGGCCAGCACGCTAAGGCTATGCAGGGGCCGGGCAGACCTATGGGATGGGGATAGGGATGAGGGTCTACAAGGATCCCTCACCCCTGACTCCATTAATTTGACACGTTGGGTACTGGGGAACAAGCCAGGCCCACCACAGTGTTGCTCAGCCTACACCCTAGTGGCAATGATGTTCACTCAGGCAACTGTATACACAGGCCACTGCAAAGCCTGTGCCAGGCAGTCAGAGAGGGCTTCCTGGAGATGACAGCCGATTTGGGACCCAAAGGAGTCAGAGTTGGGCAGAGGAATAGGGAACAAGTGTAGAGGTAGAGGTATTCTGGGCATTGTAACATAGACGCCAAGAGGACAGTGAAAACTAGGTGTAGCCATGAACCAACAGGAGGAAGTGGGGGAGAGAAGGCTGGATATACTAGTATTCACAATGGTCAGATCAAAAAAGATCTTAACAATCAAGCTGAGGAGTTTAAACTGGATCCTCCAGAAGAAAGGGAGCCAGGAAAGGTTTTAAAATGGGGAAGGACATGCTCCAATTTGTGCCTGATGAGATATTGTCCAGGAAGGACTGAGATGGGAAGAGAGGGGTTCTTTCCAGCATGCCCTGGCTCAGCCACCTACCTGTTTCCTGGCTCCCTTGTAGGGGCAGGCATGAGAGGAGCCTTCCCTTTAGGGCCAGCAACCTGCTTCAGAGGACAAAACCAGTGTTGTGAGTCTTGGCTCCCCTTGTACCCAGCCTCCCGCCCTGGGGTTGCTGCTGGGCGGGGGTCTCACTGTGGGCACAGCTGCTGGCACGGGGTCAATGACCAGCCATCTCTCAGTCACTGTCTCTAACTGCTGGGCCGTCAGTGGCTCTCGAATCCGGACCATCACTTCTAGCCGTCCCCCTGTGGGCCGGCGACCATCCAGGACCTGGGTGGGCATAAGGGGAGGCTGCTGGGAAGCAGGCAGCAGCCGGAGTCCCAGGGCTGGGATCAGGGAGAACCAAGGTGATTTCCAAAATATGAGCCCATGGGTGAGACTGAGATACCAACCGGTTATCATGGAACAGGTGCTGGAAGTGTTAGGGGCTGGATCAGCAGAGAGGACCCTTGGGAGGCTCAGGGCAGGGAGCACCTGAGTAATGTGAATGATGACACGGCCATAATGGAACATTACATAATGTCACCTCTTACCTCAAGGATCTCCCGGACCTCACATGCCGTCTCCAAGGCATCCAGCTTCAGCTGGGCTGTGCCCAGGACCCGGTCGGTCTTGAACAGGCCCCTGTGTATGTGAGGGGACAGGATGGTTGGCCCAGGGTAGCTTCCCCTCCCTCAGACCCCATGCAGTGCCCGACCCCCCAGCTCACCCCTTATGGACCACTTCGAACTTGATGCCTTTGGTCTGGATCGCCCTTCGGAAGCCTCGGTGGCTGCGGTTGATGCAGAGTTTGAACTGCTCCTTGAACTCTGCCCAGGGAAGGAGGGAGGGGTCAGCTATCCTCTCATGTTATTTCTGCAGAGGGCAGGGGGTGCCTGTTGCCCATGAATTACCAGGGGAGTCTGTATTCTTGATCACGCTGGTCTTGTCTTTCTGAGCTTCTTCCTGGGACCAGTCAAGAGGCAGGCAAGCTTAGGGCTTGGGGCCTGGCCTGGGACCCCTGCCCAACCCACTTCCCATCCTGATGGGGCTTGAGCCCATCTCTTTGGCTCTCCACATACCACATTGGGATAGGGGAAATCGAACCGAACGAAGACATCCAGATCACCAGGGGACAGCCCTGTGGACAAACAAAGGTCACAGCTGGGCAGAGGTGGTCCCCAGAGCCCTGACCCCTGCCTGGCGCCCCCTCACCTGGAGGTGTGGGCAAGTTGATGCACTTCACGACGAACAGGAGCATGTCATTGCTGCTGAGGTCTGGGAAGATCCTTCCAGGAGGGCAGGTGGGGAGACAGAGGAACCTCAACCTCACTGCCCGCCCCCCTTTTCCTTCAGCTCAGGTGGGGAACCCCGCACTGCCTTTGGGGGTGTCTCAGCTTCTGAGCTCCAGTTTTAGAATTAGACAAACTAGAGTTCTCTGTCCAATTCTGCCAATGACTAATTTGGGGGTATTTTCTTTAGTTTGCACACATTTATTTAGTACCCGCTTTGCACGTCAGTGGCCTCATTGCTGTGGCACCTTCTCTTCATTTAACAATATTTTAGGAGGCTCCTACTATGTGCCAGCTAGTGCCCTAGCTGCTATATGCCTTCTCTTCATTTGGCATTACTTGAGTACCTACTAAGTGCCAGTCAGTGACCTCATGGCTTGGGGACGTTCCCTTCATTTAACAATATTTCTGGAGGCCCTACTATGTGCCAGCCTGTGTTCTTGATCACGCTGGTCTTGATGCTGGGGATACAGAAGTAAATGAGACCCATCTCTGTGCTCATGGAACCTGAGCTGACTGAGTGGGAAAATGCCCAATGAATAAAGAAATAAAGCAACTCTGCAGAGAATTAAAATAGGGGAAAGACTGAAATGTGCTCAGGAGGGGCTGCTTAGACAGGGTGGTCAGGAGGGCCTCTCAGGTGACATTATAGGTGATGCTGAATGTCCAGAAGCTGCTGCATAGCAATGCTTCATGGAGATGCTACATGGAGATGCTACATGGGGAACAGAGTCTGGGCAGGCCACACCACTGGGGTGAAGGCCCTGCGTGGGAACATGCTTGGTGTGTCCGAGGGACCAAAAAGAGGGCCGTGTGGCAGGAGGCGAGCCAACTGGGGACGACAGACAGAACGGAAGTGACAAGGAGCCAGGCCATGAAGACGTGGGAAAGCCAGGGTAAACGGTGTGGATTTTCCAAGGTGGTTCTCCTAGGTTACCCCAGAGGCTGCACCTAACTTCTACAAGTGGAGCAATTACCCCAACTATCCAGGGGTGGGAACATTTAACTGAAGCAGGACCAACAACCGCCATCCACGGGCCCCTGACAGGGCACACCTCTGCACCGTTTCCACGGGGTGTCGCTGTTAACACCCCCTCACCTGCCTTCCTTCACTCACACCTCATGCCTGTCTCAGGACCCCTGAGTGTGCTATGCTCCCACCACCCACCCAAACTCTCCTCCAGAGGCAAGTCCTCCACCAGCTTCTGGGGAGGGCAAACCCCTCCTCAAAGGGGCATCGGGGCCAGGGGCCATTGGGGCCTTACTTGATGACGCTGAAGGTTCTCTGCTCAAAGCGGGCAGAGGGCGTGGGGAGACCCCGGGCGAAGGCCTGCTTCAGAGTCTCCATGCTCCGCTTACAGTCCTCTGCTAGTTTCTCAAATCTGCCATAAGAGGGCTCTGCTCAGGTCCCTGGTCCCAGAGGCAGGCTGGGGGTGCACACATCAGGCAGAGGTGGGCATGGGGGCACTTACTTGCTGGTTTCGGCAATGTTACCCAGGTGAGTGAACTGGTTAGAATGGTTCAGACACATCTGATGAGGCAAAAGACAGTGAAGGGAGGGTTGAGGGGCCATGACCCTGGGGGAACCCTGCTGACCCAGGCCAGGGGCCCCCTCACCTCATGCTGCTGCCTTATGAGCTTGGTGAGTTCACCATAGCGCCGGATAGAATCCTGAGACAGACCAGGGCCAGGCCGCTGGACCAGGGTGAAGTCATCCTTGTTGACAGGGGCGGGTGGCACCTGGGAAAGACAAGGCTCATGGAGAGGGGCCTGCCCTAATCCCTTTTTGAGGAGGCCTTCCCTGACCACTGCTTTGGCCCCTGTCCCTTTCTTCCCCAGAGAAAAAAGTGATGCTAGAGAGAGGTGTACGGTCCTGACCAAAGTGGCAGAGTCTATTAACTACTTCCCCCAAATCTGATCCATACCCTCTTCCCTAATAATGGAGTTCTGACTGGGTACATGGCCGCCCCGCAAGAGACATGTCTCAGCTTCCCTTGCAGCTAGGTGCAGCCATGTGACTCAGTTCTGGGCAATAAGAGGTGAGCAGTAGTGATGACAATTCCATGCCACTTCCTTTAGAGGAAGCTTCTTGGCCTGCAATTTTTCTCCCTAATTACTTCCCATGGACGGGATGCAGACAGATTAGTGGTCCACTTGGACCACATGCACAATGACAACCTCCTCAGATGCAACAAAACGGAAAGAACCTGGGCTCTAAAGGGCTTTATCTTTCAGAGCCCAGAGCACCCTGAGTGTTACATGCAAGAAACATAAGCATCTGTCTTGTTTAACCAGTCTCTTGGGAAGAGCCTGTTTGTTACAGCAGCTTAATCTGCATCCTGACTAATATATTCCAAGTCACATGGCTGCTTTTGGCCATAGCCCAACAGATGAGCACCTGGGAAGGTCAAGCCGGGCCAGAGGTTTCACCTTGGTGATATCCACAGGCAGCCCGTTGCGTGAGGCCTCCAGCATGGGCTCCAGCCCCTTGGCCTGGCGCAAGTGCATCTTGGCTCCCTCCACGTCGTTCTTCTGCTTGGCTCGCAATGCAGCCTGCAAAAGCTGCTTTTTTCGGCCCTCCAGGAAGGCCAACTGCTGCTGGGCTGTGGGCACAGGGGCATCTGTGGGTGCTGCCCAGCCTGTGGCCAGGTGACAGGCAGGGTGGGGAGGGGGCACCTACCTCGGTTGGATGTGCCTTTGGGGGCTGCTTTAGCTGCTGAGGTGGATCCTGGTTGGGGTGCCTTTGAGGGTGGGGCTTTGGGCTGGGCTGTGGGGGCCGCAGGGCTATTGGTCTGCCGAGGACAGAGAGAAAGTCAGAGCTTTTCCAGCACCTGTGATGAGGCCACTCCCCGAGTAGTCAAGGCCTGACACTGACAATGGTGACCAGCTTAATTTCTGTTTCCTCAGCACTAAATACAACATACAGTCCTGTTCTCCTCGAATCTTTGCAACAGCTTTGGAAGATAGGGACTAGGACTATGCCCACTTTATAGAAGAGGAGACTGAGGCCCAGAGAACAAAATGACTGGCCCATGGCCACATGATCAGGAAGTGGCGGGGCCAAGAAACGAGGCCAGTTCTTTCCAGCCCAGTGGTTCTCAACCTTCCTAATGCCGCGACCCTTTAATACAGTTCCTCATGTTATGGTGACCCCCAACCATAAAATTATTTTCGTTGCTACTTCATAACTGTAATTTTGCTACTGTTATGAATCGTAATGTAACTATCTGAAATGTAGGATATATTTTCATTGTTACAAATTGAACATCATTAAAGCATAGTGATTAATCACAAAAACAATATCTAATTATACATGTGTTTTCCGATGGTCTTAGGCGACCCCTGTGAAAGGGTCGTTCGACCCCTAAAGGGGTCGCGACCCACAGGTTGAGAACTGCTGTTCTAGCTCAAGATTGGGATTGTCAGGATTTACTTTGCTGTCACTCCCTGCCGCACTCCAAGAACCCAGCCCCTCATACCTTCTTAGGCTCCTCATCCTCTTCGTCTTCTGGGCCTTCGTCCTGGTTTGCCAGCTTCATAGCAGTCTCCAGGACCCCCACCAGGCTCGGCTGGGTGGACTCGGAGGCCTCTAGGCCCTGGATAGGGAGAAAACCTGGGCGGCCAGTGAGAGCCCGGTCAGGAGAGAGAAACCTGTGCCTTGATGGTGGAAAGGTGGGTTCCACCTGATCCAATGGAGCCTTGGGTCTTTGAATCCACTTTATTTTTTATTTTTTTGAATCCACTTTAAATGCAGGAAGGAGCTGCTAATGGTTTGGTACAGACACCAGACCATGTCAACCTCCCTCTTGTCTCTTGGCTCCTCTCGCCTGACCCTGGACCTTGACCAGACTCCAACAAGCAACACTGTAAGGTGCTGTGCTGGGTGCAAGGGTTGGCCCTGGGCCTGGGGGGACTCCTGGGGTGCCAAAGTGCAGAGAGATCATTGCTCTCAGCAGAGATGTAAAGGCAGCTCCGAGAACCCAAAGGAGGCCTCCAACTCACTGGCGGGGTGAATGGGAGGCTGAGTAGGTATCTGTAAAGCTGAAGAGCTGATGACTAGGGAGGAGTGAGTCAAACAAAGAAGAAAAGGAAAGATCAGATAGCAGTGGGCTAGCCAACAGGCTCTTCAAATAAAACCCCCTGATTTTTAGTGTTGGCCAAGTTCCAAGGTGTAAACACGCCAACTATACTGATTTTAAGCTACCGATTGCCTAAGAAGCTTGCAGAATTCCTGAATGTGTCGCAATCAACTTCCTGAGCCTGTACAGTCAGAAGGAATAGCACCTGCAAAGGCTCAGAGGCTGGAGGGAGGGGTGGGGCCTACCTGGGGGCACTGGCAGCTCAGCAACATCCACAGCTCGTCCAGCCTTGTGGGCTCGAATGGCATCTTGGTATTGCTGTGGGGGACACAGATATTAGGATTCCCTTGGCACGGTCTCCAGGTGCTGCCCACCCACCCACCCACGCAGCCC